CCACCACCATCACTACTATCATCTTCACCATCCTCACCACCACAATCTTTTTCATTACCGCCACCATCTCTACCATTATAAAAACCACCACTATCATCACCACCACCACCACCACCAGCAGGTATTGAGTACCTGCTGTGTTCAGAACTTTGTTTCTTCACGTTTGTTCATGCTTTCCTGCTACAACTAGAGTATAAACATGTCGAAGGCAGTTGAGATTTATGGAAAGGACCAGACTTTCTTCCACTGACCAGCAGTAAGACTGTGGCTCAGTCATTTTTCTCCTTGAACCTTGCTCATCATCTGTGAGAGTGGAACAAGCACTCCTGCCTGCCTGTCTCACAGAAACCATATGAACACATTCCCAGGCTCTTCTCTCACATACGAGGATGCGTTCTATGCATCAGGTCATTTGTGCTTCTCTCCCTGGGATGGGGCCGGCACACAGTAGATATTTGGTGAACATGTCCTGGTTGATGGTAGTATCTGTTTAAAAATAGCTTAGAATGAAATGGCATTTGCTTTCATGGGAATCCGTTTCTTACATCCTTTGGTAAGCATTTTGTCTTTTATGAGAAGTTGTTTCCTTGACTCGTTTGAAAGACGGATTCAATTTTGTTCACTCTTCCTAAGTGAGGTAAATGTGTTTGAAGATATTTTATAAGAGACAGAAATAGACGCGTGACTGCCCCCTTACTAGGGAGCCCTGATGGTGTACTGGTTACATGTTGGGGTACAGTCCGCAGCATCAGCAGTTTGAAACTACCAGCAGCTCCAAGGGAGAAACATGTTTGCCTGTCTTTCTACTCCTGTCGACAATCAGTCTCAGAAACCCACAGGGCGGCGCTGTGAGTCAGCATTGACTCCAGGCGGTGAGAGTGAGCCACCTGGCTAGTGAAAGTACTGGGTGGCTTCCGGAGCCGCAAGCCACGAAATCAATGCAGAACAACATTTCCAGTCTTTTAAATGAGGGCAGGTTGTCTGCTTTACTTCAGTGCAGGGTGGCTCTTCTGGAGACTTCATTTCATTTCTCTGAAGCAAGAGCCCTCTGTATGTCTGTTGGAAACAGAACTTGACAATGCTGTGCCAGCCTTCCAAGACTAGCTTCACTAGCTGTTCCAGCAACTGTTGAGGGAGCTCATTGAAACCTTCATTCCCATTTGCCTAAACGCACATTGCAGACTGAGGTTCCTTTGACATCCATTTGACCCTTATCATAGGAGCCCTGGTGGCATAATTGGTTAGGCATTGGCTGCTAATCACCAAATCAGCAGTTGGAAACCCCCAGCCATGCTGGGGGATAGAGGAGGCGTTCCCTACAGAGTTACCGTCTTGGAAACCCACAGGGTCAGTTCTACTCTGATAGGGTCGATACAAGTTGGAATTGAGTGTTCTGGAGACCCTTGTAAAGCCCTAGCCTACGAGTTTGATTAACTGTGGAGAAACTGAGACCCAGAAGGGTTAAGCACATTTCCCAAGAATGCCGAACTGGCAAATAAGTGGCGCAAGTAGAATTAGGACCGGAAGGGGCTCCATTTTGCTCCTTGTGAAGGCAGTACAAATGGATCGAGAGGTTCAGCACAATCAGTATCAAGACACACACTCCCCGTCTCCCCACAGATGCCTAGGCTTTCCCCGTCTGTAGCCTTATTGCTAATCACAGGGTGCTGTGGAAGGCAGGTGTTTTGGCTCCTGGACAGGCCTGTGGCCTTCCAAGTTTTTACAATGTTCGCATGACTATGGGGGAGATTTGCTCCAAGTGCCAAGGCTTCAAGTGGGAATGATTTGTTTTGGCACGCATACACTTTTTTTTCCTCAACGGCTACTCCTTTTCTTTCAAGGTACCTCTGTGTGGGTTTAAACCACTAACCTTTCGATCGGTAGCTGAGTGCTTAGCAGTTTGTGCCACCCAAGGACTCCTTAGTCATTTATATATTTTTGACAAACATTTGCATACCTTCCTTGTGCTGGTAATTAGTCAGACAAAGATCCAGTTCCTAAAGAACTGAGGGTGTCTTAGAAACAAGAGCTCACATATGTAGATGACATTATACAGACGGGGAATGAGCTCCATGCTCATCCAAAAGAAGGGGGACTTTCTGCTGGGTGTTCAGGGAGGGCATCCTGGAAGTGGTATCTGGGTTTAAGGAGAAGAAACGTTGGGAGAAGTCAGACTGGCATCAGATCATAGGAAATCTTAATTGCTAAAAGGTTGGGTAGCCATAGAGGAGCTGGGGTGGCTGTGTGTGTGTGTGTGTGTGTGTGTCCTGAGTTTAGGAGTGGATAGGAGCTGCATTTCTGGTAGATGGTATGACCTCAGCACCAGATGGCGTGGAGACAAAGACCAGGCTGAGAGCCTGCTTCAACAGTTATCGACTGCCCATCTTTGACAGCAGCAGACACCACCTAAAGTCTAAGTCCTTCTTATAGCTGCCTTCCCTTGTCCCCCTCATCCCCAGCTCCAGCACCTCCGTCTTTCCTTGAAGAGTCGTCTAGGTGGGCTGCCTTGAGTGTCTTACCTTTCCTCACCTCTGTAGCTGGGCTTGTGCTCCTTCCACTCCACGGGAACTGCGGTCAGGACCAGCTGTACGTTTCTAGCGCTGCTCCAGGGGTAGTTTTCAGGAGCTGTCTTGCGTGACCTCTCTTGGCAGTTGGTCCTGCTCTGTCTCTCTCTTGCCTGCGCTTCCCTGCGTCTCTCCCTTTTCAGCTGTGTCACGGGTCACTTAATATCAGTGTAGCTAGCATGCCATCCTTGTCCAATATTTTATCCCCTCTGCCCATTTGTTCACTCATCTAACAGATATTTATTGAGCTCTTACTCTGTGCTAGGCACTGTTAATGACTGATTATCCTGAACAAAAGGCAGCCCTGCCCTCATGAGGCTGACGTTCAAGTGCAGGGAGCTAGACAGTAAATAAATAAGTGTGTGAGATGGTGATAAGCCTTAGGAAGGCACACTGAAGGCAGACACACACGGTGATTCGCTGTCATCAAGTCGATGCTGACTCGTAGCAACCCTACAGGACAGAACAGAACTGTCCCTGTGTACATTCTGAGAATGTAGCTGTTTACGGGAGCAGAAAGCCTCATCTAGCAGCTGGGGAATTCAAACTGCTGACCTTGTAGTTAGTAGCCCAATGAGTAACCCACTGTGCCACCAGGGCTGCTTAGGGAGTATAGGGGGGGCCATTTTATTTAATGTTTACAAGGAGGGCGTTTCTAATACATTGTCTTTGGGCAGAAACCTCAAGGGAAGAAGAGCAAACTGCAGCTATTAGGGAGAAGAACATTCCAGACAGAGGCCAGAAGCAAGGCCTCCGTGTGTGGGATCAGGCTTGGTGAGCACAGAAGTAGCAAGGAGGCCAGTGCGGCTTCAGTGGAGTGAGTGAGGCAGAGGGTTATGGGGATGAGGCTACAGAGGGAAATGGGAAGGTGGATCGGGTGGGGCCTTGAAGCCATCAGAAGGCCTTCGAGAAGAGAAGCCACTGCAGAGGCTCAGCCAAGAATGAGTTGGACTGACATCTATTAGAGCAGTGATTCTCAACCTTCCTCATGCCGCGAACCTTTCATACAGTTCCTCATCTAGTGGTGACCCCCCAACCATAACATGATTTTTCTTGCTACTTCATAACTGTCATTTTGCTACTGTTATGGATCCGGCGACCCCTGTGTAAGGGTAGTTCGACCCCCCAAAGGGGGTTGAGAACCACTATATTAAATGGGCAGAAGCCAGAGGACCTTTTAGGAGGCTACTGTCATGGCCCAGCTGAAAGATTTGATCCTCGAATTTAACAGTGGAGAGGCGAGGCGTGGTGGGATTGGAACTCCATCTCAAAGGGAGAGCTGATCACACGCGCCTGGATGAGTGGTGTGAGAGAGAGGAATTGGAATGAGCCTGAGGATTGCAGCCTGCACCACCGGCTCCGACATGCCGTCTGTGAAATGCCTGTTAGAGATGCACTTGGAGATGCTCAGTACACAGTTGCAGTTCAGTTTGAAGCTCTTGGGAGAAGTCAGAGCT